TATGGACCTCTGGATGGCTGGAAATGGCAATCTCAGACTTGAAAAATACTCAAATCAATAAACATGCATTTCAAGGCAGTTATTTTTTTTGTTTTGAGCTAACTTCCCGACGAGCTCTGCCCGGTGGGTGGGGTGGGGGGCCTTGACCTGTCCGATAAGGGGCCCCCTACCACGATTATTTGGTAACTGAGTATACTAAACTACTGTCCATGTGACATGCCTAAATATGGTCATGATGGCATCAATCATAAATCAATCATAATCATACAGATCATATAAGCACATCATGAGTATACAATGGGCATCAACAGTCTTTTGTCAAAAAAAATTCGAAAATATGGACAGATTAAAACTACGAAGAACCATAGGAGCCATGACAAAACAAATAAAATTGATACGAACGTACGTATTAAATTACTATCACGCATGTACGTATTACTATGACGTACTGTACGTACGCATTACTATCACATACGTAGGTATTACTATCAAGTTCATACGAATTACTATCATGTTTGTACGTATCACGTACATATGTGATAATTAACACATACGTATGTACATACGTGACTGTAATACGTACATATGTATCTATTTTGTATCATGTCCCCTCTGAGTCTTCGTATAGAACAGTTCTATAATTAATAAAATTGATAAAACCTTCCCATTAGCATTTTAATGTTAAAGTAGAGGGTTGTAAAAAGCAATATTCTGACTATTGAGTCCATGCACTAAAAACAGAAGCAAAAACACAATACAATTTTATACTAGTAATATTTTATAAAACAAAATAGAGCGTTTGAAAACAGTGTAAGAGTCGGTACACACAAATCAACAGTGAACAAAATGAAGAAACATTGTACTAAAATATTTATTTGGAAAACATCCAAGCTATTCAAAAGTACAATATTTTTACATTTTTTTTGAAAAGAGAAAATTCAACTAAAGCCTCTTAATACTTTAAATTTTATTTTTATCAAAATCTAATATTTCAAAAGAAAAAAGTGTGGTTTTGATGGTATATCAAGGTTTACAATTTGCCAATCTTAATATAAAATACAACTGACTTAAATGCTGTTAAAGGCCATTCCTATGTTTTTCATTGTGTAAATTGTGCAAATAAATTCACTGACTATTATTGGACAGTTTATTAAAAATAAATATTAAAATTATTAATGTTTTAATAAATTTATAGCATTTGAAAGTTAGCTGTTACTGACTACTAGGAACAGCTATTTTTTTTGCATTCTTAACATATAAAAATCTAAATTTTAATTTCATATGCAATGTCTCACTCTCAGAAAACATGAGTTTAAATTAAACGAGAAAAGAAACAGAACCAAACCAACAAATCAAGAAACCATTATTAATATCAACTATTATTAATAAAATAAATAAGAGACAAAAAAAAATGAATGTAAAAATTACTAAAATATTATTAATTTACCAAAAGGCATAACTTTATAGTTTGTTTGGTGAACTATATAGATCAAGAGAAATGTTCTCCTTTACCAAAACATTTTCTGCCAAAACGGTTGTCCCATAGCAAAACAACGTAACAGCTTTTATATTTTTTGTGCAGTTACGTTATTTTGCCTTGGAATGGCCGAAAAGCAATAGGCAGAGAAAAAAATACAATAAAATAATATTCACATATTCAAAACTACGAGAGTGTGTGGTAAAACAAGTATTACAGAGGGTACATTTTTATATTTGCCCTAAATCATATGACCGTTGATGTAACATATGCGATATAAAGAATTCAGTAATGCGATTGATAAATGTCTTTTTATTTGTAAAGGAACATGACGCAGCGTGTAAGGTGGTGGGCTTTCAATCAAAAGGTCAAGGGTTCCAGACCAATGTTCGTCACACTGTATGTGTCCTTGGGCAATTGACACTTTATCTGCATTTGCCTCTTTTCAGGAGTATAAATGGGTATCTGGTAGAAGATAAATGGTTCGGAATGAAATCAGTAGTGATGATTACACGCGTAATTAGAAATACTCCCCAGAGCACGGAGGAGGTCGCTCGTTGTGTATGATTGATTTTGTATCCAATGACAAGAGAAAAAAAAAAACGCCACGAGTAGTTTTATTGGATATGTGCGCTATATGGCCGTTCTATGGCAAAACAATGTTACTTAAAAAGAGTATAATAGCAATTACGTTGTTTTGCATTGGGACGGCCGCAAATAAATCTTAAAAATAAAAAATAATAATAAATAAATAAATAAAGAAAAACAATGTTAATTTTTCTGAAATTTTAATTTTTTATGGCAGTGAGTACACTAACAGATAAGAATAAAATTATATTTGTATTGGAATTTATCTCTGTTCGGCGGCAAGTTTGCTCAACGTATTATTTAAAGAAAAGTCTTGCCTAAGCCTAAGGTACCATTAATCAAACTTAAAGCATTCATAGCCGATCCAATTTAGTAAGGTGCTAATCCTAGTCACTAGATACAAAATGAATCATAAACATAATGGAAATCTCTTCAATTCCATTAGCAGCATTCCTATTAACTATTTCCATTTGGAACCATTTCCATCCTAACTCGCACCCATTTATTCTTCTGTTTTGTTATGAACACTAAAGACTCGAACCTACACTTTTTCAATTGAAAGCACAAGTCCACTGTGCATACTTTGACCTATGACACATAACAAACATCTAATGTAACCAGCATTTTAAAACTAAATAAAAAAATAACAATAATTAATTTTACATGTAATATAGATTAAAATTAACATATGAAAAAATATACTTTTTATAATAATAATTATTATTTTTAATAACAAAATTATGCAATGCTGAATGGCTTATCCAAGCCAGTTAATTGTTTACAAATAACAAATCATTAAATAGCTTATGGAAAAAAATAGTCAAAAAATGACTGAATTCTTGGTTTTAAATTTGTTTATTAAAAAAATGAACCATTAATCAAACAGTTTGACAGAATAACTACAATTTTATTTTAATTTTAAAATGAAAGACATAAATATAGTAAAAAATATTTTTCAATACATTTTTATAATTAATAATTTGTTACTTAATGTATTGGCAGTTTTTGTAACCATAAAATAATTTAATGAAATTCTGTTAAATTTAAGCCTAAAGTTTAAGAAAAGCATGTTCAACAACAATAAAATTTATTAAACAGCCATGGGCACTACATGAAGTTAATACTGTATTATAGAGAGATAATAACACATAAGGTATTTTTCCTGATGTATGGGAAAAAAAAACCACATTTGCATAAGTAAATTAATGAAATGTTTTGCAAGCATTGTTAAACACTAGGTATGTGGGGATAATAAATATATATTTTTTTTTTCAACCAGGGGTAATAACACAGCCATTTCTTCCTCCCTTAGGAAAAAGCTCCCTCTGGTCATGGGAAATGTACTGTACAATTATAGCTAAAATTTGGCCTTAAAAACTACAAAATATTAGTTACTACTGATGTTTAAAAATTAGTGTAACAAATGAAATGTCGCCCTCTCCAGAACAAAAAGCATTTGGCATCTTTAGAAGAGCTATTCACAACCTGTGTAAGGTTAGGCAATTTTTATTCCTTGTTTTGCGAAACTTTTTTTTTTTTAACTGGTTAGAGGGTGCAAAAAAAATAAAAATAAAATTGTTATTCCTATGGTTTTACAAAAAACATCCAGAAGGAGAAGAAAATTAAAATAAAATTTTATTTTTGAATGTAAACAGTGTAGTAATGGGATGGTTAATGCTTATAAATTTATATATTAGGTAGAAAGAAATATACAAATCTTATTTTTGGAGATTTCAATGCAGCGGTGGGAATAATAAAAATAAATAAAAAAAACTTTTATTTTTTTAATGAAATATCCATTTTTTCGTAGCAGCGAGTGCGCTAATTGGCGAAAAAATAAATTATTAAATTTTCATCCACAATCATCATTATTGGCGGGCGGTGGGTTCATATATACCTAAACAAGGTATAAAAAAAAAGCCTCGCCATTTGGAAATCTCCGTATGGTAATTAGATATAAAAACTGACCAATAAGAATTAGGGCTAGAATATGCATTGTGTCCTACAAAAACACATGTTTTCCCACATTTGCACAAGTGTATTTGTGGGACCTTGGCAACAATATCTAATGGGCGGTTGCTTAGTTGAATGGCCTCGTTGCCAAGGAACAACATTATATATGATAATTCGTGCAAGTGTTGTTATTCTGGAATGTCAATTATGTTAAGATTCAATCAAATCAACTACTAAAAATAATTTTATCTAACATTTTATTACAAACACTTTTAAATTACTTTAATTTTGTATAAATTCATTATGTAAACTGGATGTCTTTAGCCATTTTAAATCTACATACAGCTTAATAAACGATAGGTAATATTAACATAATTAATAATTAATGTAATTAATGATGTGCAGTTACATAAGGGAGCTGCACATCTGTTTGTCAAGGGTGGGATAAAAAAAATTCAATAAGTAAAAACAACAAAACCTTTTTACTTATATTAAAGATAGCATGTCTCTATAAGCCAATGACCCCGATCTAAATATTCATAAACGTTGGTTAAACCATAGAGGTATAAAAATTATTATTATTTTTATACCTCCTTGGTTATACTTTAAACTTTTATATTTAGCTAAAGTTTTTGAAATCATAATTATATATCAATTAAATTGAAATTTTCATTTTTAAACCTATACATAATTATATATAAATACAAGAAAATAAAAAAAGTATATGGTATCAATGAAAACAGCTAGAATAACAAAATTTATCCTCACAAAATTTAAGGGTAAAAAACAGCCACTCTCCTGTGAAAGATAGCATTAAAATATTGATAAATCACAATAAATCATTATTTTTTATAAAGACATTAAGTCATTGATGTATTAATTACATTAATGAATATTCATTAAATATATTAACACATGAATACATTACAATATTATAAAATGATGATTGTTGCGGGAAGGATATATTTATGTCACACCCTTCCCCTTTCTTCTGTCAATCCAGCTGCTAATAACTCTATGGGGATATTTTGCAAATGAGGTTTAAAAAAAACAAATAAAAAATATATTGATACTGCTAATAACTTTTTCCAGTTAAGGGCTAGTTCAGCTGGCTGGACTGCCAGCAAGTTTAGTTTAAAAAAAATTATGTATTCTATGAAAATACTCATTAAGTTGAACAAGTAGTTTTTTAAATATGAGACAATGTGATGTTAATTATTATCAGAAACTTATTCTTCATAAAACAAATGGAAAATATATTATTAAAAAATTAATGTTAATTTATAACATAGTTTCAATTTTAAATACCTAAAGTGTGAATTAATTTGTTATAAAACATTTAGGCGGTGCTCACAGAATTTGGCTGGCCGAGCTCTGACTGTAGTAGATGAGGGCGCCGATGATATTCACTCCCGAAGCTGTGATGAATACAGGATACCACGTTGAAGAGTATTCCACGATAGCTGCGGTTACCGGCCCTGCCGCTAGACCAGGAATAGTAGCCTAAAATAGCAAGCAACAAAAGAGGTATCACAATGTATATTTAATGATATGGTGAGCCATATATAGTCATAGAACTAGAAATTGCAAATTGCAAGTGAAGTGCTGCGAAGTACAACTGCATAAAATGTTCTTCGAACAAAATTATTTATGCGAGTCAAGTGTAAATAATGAATAATAAAAATATAACAAATAATATGAGCACGACCCATTTTCTATATATTATTAGAACAGCGTTGGTACAATAGTGTTTTGCTGCAGTGACATCTCTCTGCTGGCGATGGCTCGCTGCTGCTGGCGATGACTCGCTGCTGGCGAATCGATCTGCGCATGTGTATAAAATGGTATTTATTTCCGCAAACACTATGCCAGTCTACAACAAGCGTCGCCTAAATGTAATAATTAGCACGTTAAAATAGGCTAGTAAATAAGTTTAACTGGGTTCGTAAATAATATTGTCCTCAAAATATTGTGGCTGAGACATGAGTCGATTAAACGTAGAAATAGGAAACCTAGAAATATAGTAAAAACGCTGAATAGTACTCCAGCGTCGCGACATGCCGACGGTGGTACGAGTAGATTAGTCTACAAACGTCGCCTAAAGTAATTGATTTTACCCGGCAGAACGAAAGAAGGAAACTCCGCTTTTCAGTTGTCTCAGGCGATTGATTTTTGACAAACAATGACCTTTCAGAGGTAAAATTGCTGTCAAGAATATGAATTGGCTGCTTCGCAGCAAATATTTGTGAGAGATTTAAATAGATAAAGCTAGCTTTTACAATATTTGAATCATTGATTATTGTAAAACTTTATTGAAAAAGAATATAATAATAAATCATTTAAAAAAACAAACAAACAAGGAAGACATAAAATGGAGTTGTCTATGAGATCTGATGTTTAAAAACTGAGAAAGTTTATATTGGTAAAAACGGGTAGGGCACTTAAAATGAGAACAAAAGAGCTCAAGAAAGATGTAGAGGAACATAAATTTTGAATAAGAACAAGGGCCAGCAGAAAATTGTCTTCTGCAAAATTACAAAAATTGGCTATAACGGATCATATGACACAAGAAAATCAGATACCAAACTGGGAAAACATCAATATCTTGAATACAAAAGGGTGGCTAAACAGGAAAATTAAAGAATCACTATGTATCAGAAGAAATGATACTACAATGAATAGAGACGAAGGCGCACATCACCTCTTACACTAATGGATGACTGGAGCAACCTGCTACAATTCAGCATCTGCGGAAACAACCACCACAGATACTGATGAAGCCTGACTGGTAGTCAGACGAAACTGTCAACACAGCAAAAACAGTAACATTGGTTTAACGCAAAGAAATTATTTATTGAACAATCGAAAACAAGAGGCACTATTTACCCATCAAAGAACATACAGTGTATGTGACAAATCAAAGGTGAAAGTTAGGAGAATAACCCTCACAGCATCTTTGTACTGAATCGCGTATGGACGTGGTCCATGACAACCTAACCACCGTAACAAGGCACTTATACTAACTACATTCACATCATTCCAACGACAGGGGCTAAAACGGGCCATAGCCTCAGGGTAAACTCCTACCCTTTCGAAAGATGCAATGGGTTCTTTAAAATGTACATGAGCTAATGTGCACACTGGAACCTCCATTTTAAGTCCTTATCAGAGAAGACTTGGTTCTACCGTCCGAAGCCTGAGTGAGGAGAGGCTCAAACCTGCGTTATTAAAGTCCATGGACAACAAAGGGGGATAATGAGAAGAAATTAAACAGAAAATTGAGAAAGAATTTCTTACCAATGTATTAGAAACTGCGAATGTGATGCCTGCTTGACTTGCGGCGACATCGGCGTGGTTACTGATGTGACCCGATGAATTACACGCACACAGACCCAATGATATTGAAACAAAACTGAAATAGAGAAATTAAATAACATTTAATTATTATTGTTATTGCAGTAATACTAGCAGTAGTATCATTTTGTAGAAGTGGTTTGGTGAAGCAGTCACGGTTCCGACGCTCAACATTGAGGTCAGATGTTCAATCCCTCGCTTGTGTCCTTAGGCAAAGCACTTTACCTATGATTGTCTCTCTCCACCCAGGAGTACAAGTGGGTACAAATCATTACAGCTGCAACATTATGGAATTCTCCGCAGGGAGGTAAGTATATGTGTTCCGTATGTGCTTGATCCATGACCGGAGTATTAATAATGTGAAGCGCTTAGAGGCCTTGTTGGCAATAACACTCTGCCAAAGACGTAGATGTTTCAGGATTTTTTATGGAATCCAATTGATGGGGTAATCACCAACATGTACTAACAATTTGAACAATGTATTCAGTCTGAACCGTAAATATTTCACTATTTGTTTGTTTACATTGAGCGTAGCGGTATTGATGTACTTTCACGAAATTGCGATTATCTCAGATTCGTTGTGAAAAATTGCGTAAATCTCCAAAAGTGAGTCATTTTCATTTTACTGTTTACGGGTCACAGATTGTGATTAGAATAAAGTGTTTGGTATCATTGTGAATCTAAGATGTTTGTACTTCTTGTAGTATTTACTACATGTCAATCTGATCACATATGCACTCTCAACGAGCTTCGGAAATGTGTTAACATTCACTAAAACGTCTGCCGACTGATACTATTTTTTCAAACCTTCAGTGTGTTAAGCGCTATAAGTCTATTATTATATTATTAGTATCATTTCATGGTTTCATCAGACTATCAGAATAGAGTGTTTGTTTAGATAACATTAAAGTGTACAATATGTGGGAAAGACCAGCCAAACCAGTCACTCCTCACAAATCATGTTTTGGGCATCCTGGTGCCCAAAACATGTTGAAATATGAACATTTTTTAAACTTATATTATTATATTTAACTACCCTTTACCTATACATCGTGCTATGTTTTTATATTCCCTATTTTCAACACTTTTTAACAATTTGGTGATGATCACTCCCTGAAAATACCCTAAATTGTAAACTTTGAACCTTCACTAATACTGTTAATTCAAACAGGGCCTGTATGTTCAAACTCCTGTAGCTACAGAACAATAGGATTTAAATGATTCTTTCACCATTTTATAACTTTCATTTTACTGTTTAAGCTGGTATTAATATTTAAAAATCAGATTGTGCGAGAAGTGATTTGGCTGGTCTTTGCCACATTTCATCAATGTGGCTGCTTTCATTATGTACTTACCAGACAGCTAAACCAATATTATCTACATAACTAAACAGAAGAAGAAACAAGGCCGGGCCAAGGAGGCCGATGCTTGTCATTAATCGCCGCACAGAGAGTACCGTCCACTGCTTTTTAGAGATCAGGGAATCAGCATAATACCCAGCAACTATAAATAAAATCAAACAAGAATTGCAAGAGAATAACATAGAGGGCGCTATAACAATTCCAACAAATTTATCTCTCACAAGTTGATGTTTATTACTTTAAAAAAATTGGAATTTACCACTCAACTCACTTGCAAAAACTGGCATCACTGACAAAAACATGAAAATTTACTTTTTTTTAAACATTTCTCCACATTATTAAGGCATGATGGGTCATTTACTCAGAAAAACTTTTGAGTAAAAGTATTATAGTTTCTGTGTATTAAAGTATACAATACATTTTTATTTTTAAACACATGTAATGTCTAAAACATGCAGTAAGAAAAACTTCTAAATTTACATATTACCTGTATATATCAAAAGAAAGCTAAATTTATAAGTGAGCATTTCTTTTTTGAAATATCCTTTTCACTAAAAATTGACATAAAAAGTCAAAAAATAGATGTAAAGGTAGTCACCTCAAAGAAATGGGGTGAAGCTGATAATGCGAAAATTAACCCGGTTGCTAATGGTAGTACACTTGGGGAAATCCGGGACGTTAAGGTTAAACAGAAATAGGATACTTTTATGGAGGATGAGAAAACTACTTGCTACTTGGAAATGTACTAAGTAGGAGATGTAGTATTAATAGAGAAAGGGGGTGGTATAATCAAAATGAATGAGTGTTGTTAGGGCTCAACTTCAGTGCTCTTAACTTAGAAGTTCCCCCTCTAAATGAAATGAAATGAGAGGAGAACAATTCTATGTTAAGGACACTGAAATGTGGCATTAGAGTTAAAAATAGATGGAAAGATTTCAATTCAATTCAATTCAATTCAATTAACATTTATTCAATTAATTAATAAATACATCAAGTGATAAATAAAGTGGACAACATTAAAATTAATTAATTAGGATCAAAAATAGAAATAGAAAAAAAAAAAAAAAAAGGCATCCATTTCAAACGAAAAAGTGCGGATAAACAACTAAACACATAAAAAAAGGCTAGAACTTAAGGGGCATTCAACTCCAGACCCCAACTTACATCCTTGCACTTAACCCCACTGCGGCCTCTATGCAGCTTCTAAACTTAATTATAAAGGGCCAGGCAGGGTGAGCAGCTTTATATCCCAGGGTGTTTTAGAACTGGCCTCAATTAAAAAAAAAAAATTCTAAAAACACTCACTGACTCCAACAAATGAATTCATAACGTAAGGTAGAGCAGTTAAGCTGATGTCCTTAGCGTCGGCCCCTAGATGACGTTGTAAATACGTCGGCAACCAAGACATTACTATGTAGTTAGACCAATTCATGGCAAAATGCGCTGCATAAATGGCCCATAGAGCACGGTGCGAGATGTAACTCGTCCATCGAACTGTGGCTCTGGTATCAACCTGTTGCAAATAGTAAAGTAGATGAAAACAAATTTTAAAATCAAACATCATTTTTTAATCCAGTGTAAATAGGAGTACTGTAATTAAACTTCTCCTTGGAGCTCATCTACATATCAATTTTAGGGGTAGTACCAAGCTGTGGCCGAGTGGTTAGCAGGGGCACCGCAACCTTCAGCCATGGCACTGGTTCGAACGGCCCACTCGCCTATGGTTCTGGTGGTAAAACAAGTCTTCTCGGATAGGGACTATAAACCATAGGCCCAGTGTGCACAATGGCTCATGTACACTATAAAGAACCCAGTACATCATTCGCAGATGAGTAGGGGGATACCCTGCTGTACTGGTACAGACAGCCCCTGTGGTGGACGCTGAGAGTTGCTGGCAACAGGTTACCAGATATAACAAAGACATGAAGGGACCCTTAGGGGAGAAGAATGTCATTGACCGAATTCTTAGTCCACATACTGTATCTAAGCACCTTATTGTCATTATAAACACCCACACTGGCGGATTCAAGGGGGTGCGGCAGCTGGCCAAGACATCCGCAAAATTTTTCAAAATTACAACAAAAATGGAGAAAAATAAGAAAATTATATTCAAATTTATGTCTGAGAATGCCATTTCCGGCCTTCTACAGGTGCCGTAATCATATATTTTCTTAGACTCTCCATCTAAGTCTGTGGAAGTGCCTCCATGGCCTTCCCTCCATTACCCTATTTCAAAATACTTGAATCCATCAGTGACCCACGATCAAGAGAAAAAAAAAGAGAAATTATATGCAGATTTCAGTCTGAGAATGCCAATTCAGGGATTCTAGAGGTGCCACCAAATTTTCTATTTTCGTAGACTCTGCATCTGTGGAAGTCCCTCCCTGGGAGCCCCTACAGTACTTCAAATTTCTTGTTCACAAACCCATGATCAATACCTTTATCTTACGTTTGGTGGAATGAGGTCCTCTTGCTGACTGCCAATGCTATCCTCCATAGAACCATGATCAATACCTTTAACTATATCTTACGTTTGGTGGAATGAGGTCCTCTTGCTGACTGCCAATGTGATTATCCATAGACCCATGATCAATACCTTTAACTATATCTTACGTTTTGGTGGAATGAGGTCCTCTTGCTGACTGCCAATGTGATTATCCATAGACCCATGATCAATACCTTTAACTATATCTTGCGTTTGGTGGAATGAGGTCCACTTGCTGACTGCCAATGTGATTATCCATAGACCCATGATCAATACCTTTATCTTACGTTTGGTGGAATGAGGTCCTCTTGCTGACTGCCAATGTGA